TAATAATTTTTTTAGAAAAAATTAAATTTGAGGTTTTGCAGTCAATTGTTCCTATGTTCTTCATTCCATGTTGAAATTTTTCTTCATTCAAAGGATAAGGTCATTGATTATTATAAATACAGCTGCAGGACATATCATGGGGGAGAATGCTTTTTTATAAATTTTCAAGTTTGTAATTGATGTTTTTCCATGCAATTAAAAAAGATCACCTTTGTTTTGTTTTTTATTTTTTATTGTATTTTTACATGTACCGTCCAATTAGATCTGACAGGTACGGGAGGAGATTGCCCCCTCCTTCTCCAGCAGAGCATCTGGTGGATTTGAACTGCGTACCTCTCGGATTGCAGTACAGTCTTGCCACTAGGCCACCAGAGCTCCCTAAAAGATCACCTTTGTACAAGAGGTTTTGTTTCATAAATGGCTTCTCTGTTCTTGTCAGGACAAAGTGGACCAATGAACTGTTCAGTCTCTTTCAGAGGGGCACTTGGTGAGAGAACCAGTATTCTACTTTACTTTTTTGTATTTGACTGTCAGAGCAGATCAGGTGTGGACAATACATCCAACATCCACAAGTGTCTTGGCCATCTTTCAAAAGCCTCAGTATTAACAAACTCATTGTATCGCCAAAGTCTGTTGGCTAAAGTTTCCTAGTTTGCTCTCCGTTGCCTGTGAGTTGTACCTTTCCCTTGGAGTAGAGCAGAGAATGAAAACCCCGTTTCCTCTCCCGGACCACTTTAAGCCTTGGACAGAAGCCTGATTCTCACAGATTGTGCCTTAGGAAGGCTTGAGTGTATTTGGGAAAAACATCCATTGTAAAAGTTCATATCTGGGATTTCTTAAGGTTCATCTCTCATTCACTCAACATAACACTAATAAACCAGCATGAAAAGCAAAAACTTGGATGTTTCCTCTTAAAAAAAGCTAAATTTTTTGACATTGTTGACATTCACATGGTCTGTCACTGTTGACCCACATGCCTGATGTCAGCTAACACTTGATGTATGGTCTGTGGCATTGCTCATTCTGTCTGCCTCTCATTGCTATCCCTTGAGCACTGACCCTCCTGCCTGTCTCCAAGCCTGTACAATTGTCCAGGACTAGATGGCCCTAACTGCCAGAGAAATAGCCTTTGGGTTTGCAATGCCACTTTTGATTACTGACACAACAACTCAGCTCATTGCTCCCAGAAAGAACTGTCTGCTAGGTGATCCTGCATCTTCTCTCTGGGG